AGTGTACGCCCCTTGGCTGGTGCACCCCTTTATGAACTTCTCTCATCATTAGCTCAGCCTCATCCGGGTACAAGCATTTCAGAAATGTGCCGTTGTAAGAGTGCTTGTAAAATTTAGTGTCCAATACGGCATAGCTAGGTGCCCGTAATTTTGTTAGCTTGGCGTCTTCTTCGTCTTGCGGCAAAGAGCCATCCGCCTTGTGCCTCCTAATATGGTCGATCCAACATGGCTCCCTAGCCTGCACAAGGCAGACCCACGAGACATCAATGCTTGAAGTCTCTAGATCTTCTAGTCGTGTGATCTTCCAGATGTGGTTGGGGACTCCGATGCTTAATTTGGAGAGCATGTTAGGGTCAGCATTCTGCTCTCGTGGCACTTGGTGGATCTTGTACCCCTCAAATTCGTGCAGGGTTTTCAGCACCGCATCCCTGTAGGTATTATTACCCACAAACTAGTCGTGGATCCCACCAAGAAGCTAGTACATCTGCGGAAGAGGTACATGTCGGCAGAACGGAGGGAGTTTGTAAAGAATGAGGTGTTTGCATTACTTCAGGTGGGACATGTCAAAGAAATCTACTACCCCTAGTGGTTGAGCAACGTAGTCTTAGACCCTAAAGGATCGACTTGGATGACGTGTGTAGATTACACAGACCTCAATAGAGCATGTCCCATTGACCGATTTCCACTACCAAAAATCGATCAGCTAGTAGCTAGATGAGACGGCAGGCTGCGAGTTGTTGAGTTTTATGGATGCCTTCCGAGGGTACCATCAGATATCCATGCATGAGGATGCCGAGAAGACTGTCTACACCACCCCAAAAAGTATATCCTGCTACTTGGCCATGCCGTTTGGCTTGAAGAACATTGGAGCCACCTACACTCGCATGGTGGAAAAGTTGTTTAGAACGGTGCTGGGGCGGAACATGGAAGCGTATGTGGACGACATGATCGTCAAAAGTTGCAGGGCCGTCTCCCACGTCGAGGATCTTAGTGAGGTATTTTCCAAATGCGTAGCTTGTTTGCTTGAGATTTTATCTCTTCCTCTCAATGAAAGCACCATTGACGGTAAATATGTTATCGGACAGTATTAAGAAAGTAAATAAGTTCTATTGCTTTAGAGTTTCAGTCCAAGTGTTGAGTGTGTCCCTTCTGCTTAAGTAATGTATCCCCTAGTAATGAGGAGCCAAGTCTATATTATCTACCATAATTGTCTTGTCTTAGATAAGCCGGTGCTGAGTAAATGTTTCCGTTATGTGATCGTTGGCCTCCTTAAAATACGTAGTTCTGGGTCGGGTGCTTGTCTCATTATCCTATCAAAAGTAACCCTTTTTTTCCTTTTTCTTTTTTACTCCTAAACTTTTACATGTAATTCATACAAATCACACTATAAGAGTAAAACTTTTCGATAATAGAGTTTTAACATTTCTCCATAAGTCCACATGAGTACAACCAACAACATGGTAAACCCAAGTGCCCAACCCACAGTTTACAACCAGAAAAGTCAGCTTGCAGCAACTGTGATGAGTTGAATGAGTATACAATAACAGTGAGAGATTAGGACCCTTCTTGGAAAGTACATAGCCGTATACACCCCACATTCACATTCTTTTTTATTTCTTTGTCTACCAAGTGGTGCCCAACTTTGAGCAAAGCCAGCCATGCTTTTATACAAATCTGGTCAGCACCAATTACTCTTTCTCCCATTTCCGTCAAACTAAAATTAAAAAATTCAGACATTAAATTAAATGATGAATTAAAAAATTGTGGGTCTTAATCATACTACCCTACCACTATCTCCTCCTCCAAGGCATCACGCGACCATAAAACAACCTTTGAATACTTTGAAATCACAACTGGGTCAAATCAGACAATACACAAAACTAAAGCATATAATAATGAAAAATATTTTTTTTAATCGAATTTTGTATCATTGTAAGTAAGGGATGATAAGTTAAAATAATCCGAACAGAATATCATAGCTTGGCCAAATCCTAATATCTCGTTTCAATCGAAAGGCACCACGATTCAACCTAGAGGCCTAGACCAAGCATCAGGTCGGACCAAAGGTTACATCTCAACAATAGGATTAATAATCAAACTGAACTAATCAAATTTGTAAAATGTTTTAACTGTTAATTGAACTGAAATTCTTATTTTTGAATTGATAGAGCATAACTTTTTTCGATTAACCTATTAACGGAAATTTTTAGTCTAATTTTTTTTTTCTAAAATACTTTAAAATTTATAAATAAAATTTGTAAATTTATATTTTTCACACAATATAGTCATTATATCAATATACATAAATATTAAAATATGAAAAATTAGTTTAATAATATGATTTATAAATTAAAAAAAAAATAATAATATATACACACGTAATTCTGTTAATCATATCGACACTTTCAACCATCGTTATACACTACAGAACGATGCACATAGCACTGTGCGCCCCGCGCCTCCCAAAATGACGCTATTTTGGTAAGTTATGTAGGGAGTTGATGTGATTATGTGTATTTGTTTATATAATTATGTGTATTTGTTTATACAATTATGTGTATTTGTTTATATAATTATGTGTATTTGTTTATACAATTATGTGTATTTATTTATACAATTACGTGTATTTATTTATACAATTATGTACATTTTTTAACATGAGATTTTTTTTAAAGAAAATTAACCGCCAACACATGGTAGCGAAATTTGAAAAATAAAAAATAAAAATCTGAAACGACGTCGTTTTGCATCAGGGCGCGCATTGGATGCGCGCCCTGGTGCACGATATAAATTGCCCACTTTCAAACTAAATTAACTATAGATATTTTTTATGTTAATATTTAATATTTTTGTATTAATTATTAAAGTATTAAATATTTTATAATTATAGTCTTAAAAATTTTAAAATTTTAAACAAATTTTTAAGAAATAAAAGATACACGGGTGCCTAGCTGCCGATTAATCGTTGCCTAGGCGCTAGGCTCCTCCTAATGAGGAGCGTGTATCGATTTTGTCAATCATGCATAATACACATAAACTCAATAGTATCCATCACGTCAACTTCCTACCAACTTATAAAACAGCGTCGTTTTGGACCAGGACGCACGTGCACCCTGGTGCACGATATAATTTGCGAACTCCCATATGCTAGACTCTTGTCAAGAACAATGTAACTATTAAAGACACGTTCTGTATTAATTATATTCCAATAACGTACGATGTTATCATTTTATATTTATAAATTATCTATAAACAGACCAATTTCATAACGCCTTAATCCAATGATATTAAATTTTGTATAAAAGAAAATTTTGAGACGGAATGTTATTATATAAGATCGCAAATTAGTCCACGCAGTCACCGGTGTTTCCTAAAAAAACAAACAAAAAAAAAAAATTCCAAATTTCCATTATCAATTTGCCATTGTTAACCTCGTTCATAGTTTATGCCAAACAAATCAAACACTCCCTCTTAAGAAGTCTTCACATCGACGTAGAGGTGGCGATAATGACGCCCTTAAATTAGGTTTTGAAAGCTGTAATCCAGTAACGTACTATAATACTAAGAAATTCACATTTTTCAATAAGGGTAAATTGGTAATAGTGATAGAGAACTTCTCATTCTTAAATTATAAGGTAGTTATAGAATTCATTTTTAAGTGTTGATTGTGCTCATTTTTCATTCTTAAAATATATTTGATGTTGTAAATTTTGACCCTTTACTAACAAGATATTAAGAACAAAATTTGAAACATTAATATAGCTCGAAAAATGAGCAGGACTCATTATTAAAATGATGAAATTTACAAAGCCAATTATATCTTAAAGGCAAAAAGTAAGCACGAGTGCACGACCAACAAATGAAAAGTACAATTTTCCTTAATAATATTAATAAGGAAATATAACATCCCCCCCTAATTTTAGGCTTATATCATTTTCTTTTTCCTGAATTATTCATGTATTAATATTTGTCTCCTCAATTATTTTAAAAGGGATGATTTCCTCCTCCCTTTGATGTTAAATAGACATTTTACCATTAAGGGATGACAATGCTAGACAATATATAGCAACTGAACTGAAACAATAGGGGTGGTTATTGTTACGATTCAGAACTGAAAAAATATAAAATAATTGATAAATTTAGACTATTTTAAAATAGAAAATAGAATTTACAAAAATAAATAAATTTTGTAAACTAGACAGATTTATCATTTACAAACTGTCTTTACAATCATTTACAACAAACTGTCTTAATTCGCATTTATTCTAATTCCAATTTCAACTTGAACTGTCAGTTTAAAATTTATTTCTTTTTATAAATTATATTTTTTATTTTTTAAATAGTCTAAATTTAACAATTATTTTATTTTATTTTACTTTTTTCCAATTCTGAATCGTAACAAAAATTCCCTATTATTTCAATTCGATTCAAATCGAACTGTAGTCACCACTTATTATTTGTTGGAGAAAAAAAATGAAGAAATTATTTTAATGGAAAAAATAATTATTTAACATCAAAGGAAAAAATTGTCACTTTTAAAATAATTGAAGAGTCAAATGTAAATACATGAATAACTAAGAAAAGCCCGCATGGGTAGCTCAACTGGTCATAGAGGTGAAACTTTGGAATAATGACCAGGGATTGAGTCTCACCAGCGGTAGTGTGGGAGCAACCTCTGAAAGTGAGGGGGACTTCTTGTGCGCAGTGAGCACCGGTCTAGCCTCTATAGTTCATGTTCAGTTGAATCACCATGATTTACATCCGGTCTAGCCTCTATAGTTCATGTTCAGTTGAGTCACCATGATTTACATCCTCCCAAATGCTCTATCGGGCCGAGATGTGGGAGACCCTTAGATTGGGGTTCAACCTTTTGAAATAATGAATAACTATGAAAAAGTGCTACAAATCTATAATTTAGAAGACAAAGAGTGCCATTTTCTCGGATAAGAATAATAATAATAAATTTAGATTTGGATCTCATACAAGTCATGTACAAAGAGTTGATAACCAAACTCGGACCAACACTACCACGTGCTTCATTGATTATACAAGATAAATAATATTCACAACAATTGGGAGAAAATAAATAAATATATGTATATAATAAGACCTCGAAAAATGAAAAGACCATTGTCTCCTCTCCTTCAAATTACAATTACAGTGAAGGGCAAGAAGAGTAACAATGTTACAAGATGAAAGTGGTCTCCCAAGTCTCTTTACTTTAAGATACACTCAACCTCATATCATGGCCTGTGGTAAAAAGTAGTAGTAAAAACCTAACTTAACAGAGCTCAGAGGTGAAAAGGGAAGGGAGGATTTACCCATATCATATCCCTTTCTTCCTCTTTGGAGCTGTTTATTGTTTTGAATTAACTTCCCCTCAACTCATAATCTCATTACATATGCACATCCGACTGACTTAATGGGAAATAATAAGGAAAAACTCATAATCAGCAAATTGTTAAGATGCTTTTTCAAAGACTCTCTTCTCACTCTATATGTACACAGCTAAACAAATTGGTTTAGTTTTGGGTATTCTCACCCGAAAATCTCTCCTTGATGATGCCCCAAACCTCTGCAGATCTTCCCGGAAGTGTACCTAAGCTACAGCGGATATGCTGCAGTTCCGACGACAGCTGAAGCCTTCAATCCTCACCGGGGCCGGCTTGTGCCCGAACTTCATCCCGCATCCTCCTCCCCCGTTCTTGCGGGCCGAGGAGGAGGAGAGGGGCGACGGGGGTGGTGGTGGGGATAGCGGGGGTGGCGCTATGGCTTCTAGCGTCGGCGAGAATGGATCAAAAAATTCTTGGCCAAATTGGGCATCTTGAATTAGGGGATTTGAAGCCCTGCTTGGTGGTGACCCACAGAAAAATGGAGGTGATGAATCCATCTGGAAATTGGATCTGCCCTCTCCATAATCCCCCTGTTTTATAATATAAACTCAGTTTCATAAACTCACTCAAAAATAGTTGACAGATATAATTCTGGAAAATATATTCATATCAAAGTACTTGTCAATTGTCCATAAACAACTAACACAGACACAACCCACAAAGGTTTTTCCTTTGATTAAGAATAAAGTTTCAATTTTTCCTCAATTTCTACAAATTTTTTTAAGAGAAAACCAGGAAAAAGCCACAAGTTGAAATCTCACCTTGGTAAGGATGATGTCCAGAAGTTCAGTCCCAGCTTCCGAATCACAAGCCTCCATTTGTTGACTGCTATCAAACACAAAAGAAATTCAAAAAACCATAAAAAAAAATTCAGAAAACTAAGAACATAAAGAAAAAGAGGAAAGAAAGGAAATTTTTTCTTTTTTTTTTTTAAATAAATAAAATAAAAGATGAAGAATACCTAAACTGAAGAAAACAGGAAGGTCTGATGGATCCGATAGCGTCAAAAGCGGAGGGCGAATTGAAGAACCCACCGACTCTACGGGGCTTGGGACAAACGACGCCGTTTGAAAGAGCAGAGTCTACACCACCAGAAGCCCTCATCATCATCTTCTTCTTCAACTTCTTTTCCTTTCCTCACCTCCTTTTTTTCTCCTTTCTCCCTCAACCTATGCCTTCACAGATCCAAGACCTGCAAAAAACACAAACCCTTTTCAGATCTACACACACAGCCACAGCCGTATACGTATACATATACATATATATTCTAAGGTATTTGCTAATTATAGACGCGGCGGATTTTATGTGAAAAAAAATAATTTTTTTAGAAAAAAAAAAATTGAAGAAAAAAGGGATATGAATATAGACCTGAGGGAGGGGGAGAGAGAGAAAGAGATGGGTCGGAAGGCGGGGAGGGGGCGTGTGGGGGAGAGAGAAAGTCGGAAGCAGAGAGATTTTTTTGGGTGGCGAAGAAGAGAGAGAAATTGGGAGTGGTGCGAGGTGTATTCATAGGAGGAGGAGGAAGGAGACGATCTATACGGGTTGACCCGGTTCCTTCTCGGGTTGTGCTATGTTTGGTGCCGTCTAATTTTGTACAGTTTGGAGCACGTGCACTTGATTGATGGGTCCATTATTTATTTATTTTTATTTAGAAAAGTGAAATTACGAGTCAGTTTCGGTTTTAATTTCGGCTGATTTGCGGAATACATTCAAATCTTTATATGATTGATTACTCTCTCCCATATTACTTATCTTATTTATTATTATTGGTAAAACAAATTCGTTTTTATTTACTTCTTTTAGTGGGCGTTTGGTTCACGGAATGTTAGATTACCTTAGAGAATGTCAGGTTGCTGAGAATGTTAGATTACTAGGAATGTTAGATTCCTGTGTTTGATTTAAAACTAAGATTTGTAAATAATACAACGGTAATAAGATAAATTGATTAAAACGTCCAAAACCCAACATTAGTAATAAGACAAGGGAATGTGAGATTACCTAAGAAATTAGAGGGTATCTCACATTCCCTTACAATAGCTAAAAATTTAATGCGGAGGTTATCTGACATCCTCTAGAAAAGTTACATAACCTGAACCAAACATGGGAATCTTATATTACCAAACAAATATAACATTGGTTATCTTATATAACCTGAACCAAACGCCCCCTTTAAAGTATTTTTACTTAACCTTCAGGGTGTGGTTGAGTGGAAGGGACTTCTCCATCCTTAACCAAAGGTGTTAAGGGTTCGAACTTTGGCTTTGGGAATTGAGTAGTCTTAAATTTCCAAGCCTTGTAAGCTCGTTTGCTAAGAGATCATGAACAAGCTCGTTTAGTGTTCATTTATATCGTTCGTGAACAAGCTCGTTTGTGTTCGTTTAATATTTGTTTGTATTCTCTTTGTAGTTGTGTTACTTGTTTAGTTATTTTTCATGAACATATATTATTTCTTGTTCACGAACAAATTGTGATCATGAACATGTTCATATGTTTGGTTATTAAGCATTCACGAACGTGAAAGAACAAGTTCGTGAACGTGTTCGTTAATTCGTTAATGTTAACGAACACGTTCACGAACTTGTTCGCGAACGTTAACAAACACTAATGAACGCTTAACAAACGAACACGAACAGGATATTCAAAAACCTTAACAAACGAACACGAACACTCCAAAAACCTTAACAAATGAACACGAACAACCCCCGTTCGTTTATATTCGGTTCGTTAACAGCCCTATAATACTTAGAAGATAGTTTAAAGTTTTTCCTTTCTGCCATTGAGACTTCCATGTAAGGTTAGAGATGACCACGGTTCGGTTCGAATCGGAATCATGACTGTGCAAACCGGAACCGAACCGGAATCGTCCGTACGGTTCCGGTTCCGGTTAAGGTTTGTAAAATCTTGGCCGGTTCCGGTTCCAAACCGAAAAAAATTAAATATTATAGTGTTTTTTTTAATTTTTTTTTAATAATTCCGGTTAGAACCGGCGGTTCCGAATCGGAACCGGGACCGTGGTCACCCCTATGTAAGGTTGTATCTTAAGGTAATATCAGCTTGTTGTGTTTATCATGTTATGTGCTTGTAGCAAATTTTGTTTAAGAACTGATAACATTAATGTTCTATTTAATAGCCAACCATGTTTCTCATCATTAGTGATATTTCTCATAGCCAATACAGAAGGCAAATACCTATAGAGAGCCTTAAAGGGTTGAACATGTAATGAGTGGTGATAGATAATGTTATACCAATATTCTACTAGGTATAGACACTTTGGCCAATCCTTAGGCATCTGGAATGCCATACACCTCAGGTAAGTCTCTACACACTTATTAACCCCCTTAGTTTTGCCATCAGTTTGAGGGTGATAGGCTATGGACAAACTCAGCTTAAACTACAACTGCTTGAATAAATTCTGCCAAAACTTGCTAATAAAGATTTTGTCCCTATCAGACACAATATCTTGGTGTAAACAGTGCAACTTATAGACATTCTCCATGAAGGAATCAACCAATGTCTCAACAGTACAAGGGTGTCACTAGGCTATGAAATGAGCATATTTTGTTAATCTATCTACTACCACAAAAATAACCTCATTGTTCTATGATTTAGGTAACCCTTCAATGAAATCCATTGAAATCCCACTCCAAGCATGTTTAGGAATATCTAGAGGTTGTAGAAGACATGGGTTGAGAACATTCTCCTCCATACACCTTTGGCAAGTGTCACACTCTCTGGCAAAGTTTGCTACCTCCATTTTCATCCTTGGCTAGTAGAACAATTGCTTAAGTCTATAGTAAGTGGCTCGTTGTCTAGAGTGTTCTCCCGGTGGGGAATTATGCAATTTTGCCATTAGTTTCTTGACCAAGACGGTTCCTAGTGAAAAGGAACATGAGTCTAACGCTCAAACCACAAGCATAGTAGAGGCTTGGAAAAATTTTGTTTTCCTATGCCGAAACCACATTTTGAATGGTTTATATAGCTTGTTATTCAGTGTGTACTGTAAACTAAAAACAACTAAAGAGATATGGGAATCTTTGGAATAGAAGTATAAGAGTGAAGACACTAGGCAAAGAAATTTATTGTCGGCCAATTTCTTGATTATAAGATGGTGGATTCTAAGACCACCTTGAGTCAAGTTGAAGAGATCCATATGATCTTCAATGAGATGCTCGATGAAGGAATGGTCGTGAGTGAAGCCTTTAAAATGACATATGTTATCTACTTGTTGCCTCCAAGCTAGAAACACCTCAAGAATAACGAGAAGTAATTCTACGGAAAATACCTCAATTAAGGCAATATAGGCCACAAGTAGGCTAATTGCAAAGCACCTAAGAAGAAGAAGAATAATTCTGAATCTAATGTGGTGCATGTCAATAAAAAAGAGTCCAAAACCATCATCTCGACAATGGTGACTGAGGTAAACTTGGCTGGTTCGAACCAAACAGAATGGTTCATTGATACTAGTGCGACTCGACATATATGTTCCAGTTGTGAGTTGTTTACTACATTCGAGATGACTAATGGTGAGAAGGTATGGATGGGAATTATACTCAGTTTGTTGTAGAATGCATGGGCAATGTGGTTCAAGATGACCTCTGGGAAAATTCTAAATTTGAACATTTTATACATGTCGGAGCTGCAGAAGAACTTGGTTTCTGGTTAGTTGCTAAACGACTTCTAGGTGGTTTTTGAGTCAGACAAGGTTGATTTGTTGAAATCTAAAATGTATGTGGGCAAGGGTTATGTACTAGATTGGCTTTTTAAACTCGATGTAATAACTGTAACTAATAAAAGTGATATTAACTATGCTTACTTCTTGAGTTTTCATGTTTGTGGCATGGTAGACTAAGTCATGTTAATTTTAATTCTATATGTAGATTAATTAGCATTGGCCATATTCCTACATTCCAAATTAATGATAATCACAAATGCGAGATTTGTGTTGAGACAAAACTAACGAAATTCCTTTTAAATCGGTTGAAAGGAAAACATAACCACTTGAATTATTCCATAGCAATGTATGTGATTTTAGATCAATACAATTCTGTGGTGGTAATGTATTTTATTACCTTTATCGACTATAGCACACAATATTGCTATGTGTATTTATTTAAGAGCAAATAAGAAGTCGTTTATAAAGTTATTATTTATAAGAATAGAGTGCAAAACCAACTTAATTGTAGAATTAAGGTGGTTAGAAGATGTCAAGGTGGTGAATATGAAACAACTATTGGTAATTACTATGTGAGCATTGTTATCGTATACGAGTGTATAACACTGTATTCACCTCAATTGAATCGCATTGGGAAACGTAAAAACGCACGTTGAAAGAGATGATGAATGCGATGTTGATAGTTCGAGCTTACCTCAAAATATATGGGATAAGGCAGTTTTGACAAAAAAATTATCTTTTAAATAAGGTTCTCCACAAGAAACTCGATAATACTCCATACGAGTGTGGAAAGGCAGGAAACCTTCTTACCAATACTTGAAAGTGTGGGGGTGTTTTGCCAAAGTGTTGGTGCCAACACCTAAGGAAATAAAAATAGTTCCTAAAATGGTGGACTGTATTTATATTGGCTATTATTGATCCTGGCGAGGGTTAGGGTACAAGTCTAGAGGGGGGGTGGGGGGGTGATAAACTTGTAGTATTTTGAACACTTTTCCAAAGATTAAAGCAACTGAGAGGTAATTTTAACTTCTCGTTCAGAATGCACTACGGAAATTTTGTTAACTGTTTTGAAGTTTCTTTGCACGTAGTTTTAGTCTTATCAAGTTTTAGGTTTGGTTGAATGTTATGCAATAAAGCAATAAATAATTTAAAGAGAGTGAGAGAGAGATTTTTATAGTGGTTCGGCTATAAGTCTATAACCAACCTAGTTCACTCTTCTCCACAACATGAGGAGATTGCACTATCACCAGTACAAAGTAGAACATTCACGCTTTGAACACAAAGTTAGTCGTGAACTCAACAACCCATGTTTTTCAATTCAACACGAGTTTACTCCGCTTCTTTCTACTTCAACGAGTAGAGATTGCAAGGTTGAAGAAAAGGCTTTTCTTCTTTCTCCAACTAGAGAACTTGGCTTTGTGAATCTTGATCTTTGCAATTGAGCAACACAAGTCTCTAAGAATTGGATGTAATCTTTGTAGTTTTTGTCTCTCTTTCTCTTGAACACTAGTCGCTATAACGAACGCTTGAAAGCTTTAGCACTTGATAAAATTTAAAATGACCAGCACCTTCTTCAGTCTTGGAAGAGGGTATTTATAGGCACGTTGAAATATTTTCATTGGAGGGAAAAACTATTTTCAAATCGCTATTGACCAGCGTGTCAGATTTTCTAGTCATTAAAGACTTAAAGTGCGCTGAACATATCTTTTTGTTATGCACAAAATGTCAAGGCATTTAAAGAAATATCTTTCTTGGGATGTGTTCCTAGGACACATTTTGCCTTCGACACATTCGCTCAACATTTTA